CCGCCGCCGCGGCCGCCGCCGCGACCGCCTTGGCGCGCGCGCGCAGCAGGCGCCGCGAGCCTGCCGGCGCGACCGCGACGCGCACCACGTCAGCGAGGGTCACCTCGCATCGCCCCTCCTCCTCCCCGCCCTCTGCGGCCGCAGCCGCCTCCTCCGTTCCGCCCTCGCCCGCCGCGGCCGCCGGCGCGCCGCCGACAGCGCCGCCGGGAGCCCTGCTGGTGTCTGCTGCCAGCAGCTCCTGCGCGCCCGCAATCTCGCATACCTCGACAGCCTCGCCCATCTGAGGGCCTACCCCTTCACATGCGCCACCCTCCAGCCCTGCGTCCCCTGCAACCAGCTCGCTGCCGGCCCCGAAGGGCAGCTGCTGGCTGTCGCTGCCGCCGGCGCGGACGGCATCGCCGCCTGCGGGGCTGGGGAGGATCTGATCCACAGGGCTCGAAATCAGATCGCCGTCGCCGCTGCCTTGCGGCGGCGCCGCCTCAGCCGGCCACACCCCCAACACCACGTCGTCCCGCAGCGCCGACACACCACCCTCCGCTGCCGGCGTGCCGGCCGCTGCGGCCGCGCCTGCGGCAGCGAGCGCGGCCGCGCTGGTCGGGGACGCCGGCAGCTCGGCAGCGGCGGCTGCAAGGCCGACTTCGATCGCCGAGGCGGCGAGTGGCACGACGCGCGTCGCCGCATGCCCAACCTCCGCCTCCCCTGCCTCCTCCGCTGGCAGCGGCTGCGCCTCACCCTCAGGCTGCACCCAACCTTCAAAGTCCCCGTCCTCGTCAGCGCTTGCAAACACGTCGCTGCTGGAGCGCGACATGCCTGCGTCCGAGCCCCCGCTGGCGCTTTCGCCGCCAACGCCGCCGCGCAACACCGGCTGGCCACGGTCGCCGCCACTGCTGTGGCCCGACGACTCCGCGTGGCTGCTGTCCTGGAGCGCTGCGGCCGAGGCGTCGGCAGGCTGCTTCAAATCCATATCGTCCTCACGCCTTTGGCCGATGTCAACGGCATGCGCGCTGGCCGCCACATGGGGCCCCGGCGCCTCGCATGGCGCCGCATGCGCGTGCATGGGACCGCATGCGGCGGCGCCCTCAAGCCCATGCGGGCCCAGCCCAGACCCGCTCGCGCGGGGCGAGCCCATGCGTGGCGTGCCGAGCGGCGAGCCGGCGCCAGGGTCGAGGCCAGCCGCCAGCAGCACCTCGTCTGACGCGGGCAGCGGCGCAGGCGCGTCCCCGGCGCCAGGCGCGACCGCGCTGCCGCCGTCGCGCCCTGATGATCCCACACCCGCTGCCGGCTGCTGCTGCTGCTGCTCTTGCTGCTGCAGGCCTGGGTTAATGACGCGCCCAATCAGGCACTCCTGGTCCAGCAACTCCCCAACCTCCGCACCCGCCGGCACCTCCGCCGTCGCAGGTGGAGCGGGCGCGATCCCCGTCGACAGCGACGGTGCCGAGTGAGGCGCCGCAGGGGTCGCTGGCTCCTCGGTCGCCGCAAGCACCGCCTCTTGCGGCGGCGGCGCGAGCCCCGCTGACAGGGACGGCTCTGAATGGATTTCAAGCGCCCGCTCGAGCGGCGCCGGCAGCGGCATCGGCAGCGCCGTCGGCGGCGGCGGCGCGGGCGCGTCTGTGTCCGACATGGCGACGGCGGAGGGGATGCGCGACGGCTCGGAGCTGCTGCCCGCGTTTGAAAGGCGGCTGTCGCTGACGACACCGAGCGCCTTGGGCCCCTGGCCGGCGCGGCCGTGGGATAGCTGGGACATGAGGCGCGCGTTGCAGGCCAGCGCGTCCCGTGGCGCGCCCGCGGCGCCGAAGCTAGGGGCGCATGCGGTCGCCGGCGTCTGCGCCGCCCCTGAGCGTTCGGCCGACGCGGGCGCCTGCTGCTGCGGCGGCGCAGTCTGTTGTTGCTGCCCGATCATGCCTTGGATCGCCTTCACCACGCCGCCGAGCTGACCTCCGCTGCTCTGCAATTCCTCCGCTGCCCCGGTAGCATGCTCTGAGGTGCCCGCCGGCGCGCCACCGGCTTTGGCGGCTGCTGCGGCGGCGAGCGCGTCGGTGGCGATTGCTGTGACCGCCGCCTCTGCCACTGCCGACACGCCGCTCCGGGTCAGCGACGGCGCGGCATGCAGATCCCCCGAGCCGGGCTGCGACTGCTCGCCTTCGAGGGCGCTCTCCAGCGCCTCCACCGCCTGCGGTGTGGCCTGAGCGGCCCCCGGCCCAGCCGGCGCCGCGGTGCGGGCGCCGCTGCCGCCGCCGGGGGCACACGACACTATGTGCGCCCTCTCCCACTCCTCCGGCCCCGTCTGCACCTGCGCCTCCCAACCTGCTCCGCCGCCGGCGCCGGCGCTGGCGCCGGCGCGGCCGCAGGCCGCGGCCAGCAAGTCTGGGACCGTGTCCGGCAGCTGCTGCCCTCCCTCACTGACGCCTCCGCCGCCGCCCTCCCGCTGCTCGCCAGCCGGCGTGGTGCCGGCGCCCGCTGCAGTGGCCGCCTGGCTGGTGCGCGCGCTGGCAAAGTCGATGACGTCACCAGGCTCCTCCACGGCCTCGGCCATGTTTGCGCTCCGCGGTACCGGCCGCCCCGCGTGCACCAGCGCACCCGCGACCGCCGCCACGCGCGCCGCGCGGTCGTGGGCGCGCAGCAGCTCCGGCGCGGTGCGCGCGAGCGGGCCGGGCGTGTCCGGCGCCTCGGGCGCCGCGGCGGCGGGCGCGGTGGGCTCCTCCGCCGGCCCCGGGACGAGATCGTGGCTCCTCATACGCCGCAGGATCTCCGGAGGGTCCTGGTACAGGGAAGCTTCCGCCCCCTCCGCGCCTGCCACGGCAGCGGCGGCGCCGGCCGCGGGGCCGGCGGAGACGGACGAGTCGGCGTCAAAGGAGGCAGAGGGGTCCTGAGATGCCTCGGCGATGCCGGCGGCCTCAGGGACCGGTAGTCCTGGGGCAAGGGAAGGGGTAGGGTTGCAAGGGAAGGAGTAGGCGAGCGAGGGTGACAAGAGCGACGGACCTGTAACGACTGGGGTCGACGTTGCTTTCATTATTGTCAAACGGGCAAAGGGGCCCCTCGGTGACGGCGCTGTGTGCGCCGCCAGCGTAGGGCGACAGGCCTCGTTTTGAGCAGAGTACACAACTCACGCCCGCACAGGCTCAACATGCAGCCAGTACCGTTCCCTACACAACAGCAAACGCACAAACAGCGTCGATTAGATGCCTTCGCAGCCGCCCTCGTTTCGAGGCGCTACGCACGAGCAGCCGCCCACCTATGTGGACCAGCGCCGCAGCGCGTGCCGCAGCACCGGCGGCGACCGCGTGTGCGCCATACACCTGCCCGGGCGTCGACGCAGTCTCGTGGGCCGGCGCATGCTGCGCGTGCTGCGCTTGCTGCGCTGACAGCGCGGGCTCAGAAGATGGCGCGGCGAGGGGCTCGGGCTGCTCCTTCCCGCCTTCCATACAAACGTCGCTGGCGCCGGCCGCTGCGCATGCAGTTGGGTGGGGGAGGGCAGGGGATGGGCGGGATCAAGGTGTGAGTGGAGGCGATCGGCACGCGCCCTCCTGTAAAGCATGCGCCGCAGCAAATGAGGGGGTCAGGGTTGGGAGCAGGTGTGCTGCGCAGCGCGAATGCACGCATGCGAGCGGCCCGCAGACCCAATTGGCACGTGCATGATCATGCCATGATTGTCCAAGATGCCTCCAGGGACACGCCCGGCCCGCGCGCACCACAACAATGCCACGCACGCGCGGCAGCGCGCACTGCAAGGGAGCCCAAGCGGGGGGCCCGGCGGCGCGCCCGGCGGCGCACCAGCGGCCGCGTCGGCAATGTTGATGGCTTCCGGCAGCGGTACCTCCCCTGTGGCAAGGCGGCGGCCCGCGATGGACACCTAGCGAGTGTAGGGCGGCGGCGGCGCGGTGTAACGAGAGGGGGAGGGCGAGCGAGGGCAGGCAGGGCGGTCAGCACAGGGTCCAAGTGAGTCATGGCTTCATCTCAGGGCGAGTCGCATGCTGCAGAGGGCGGCGGTCCCACCCTACAGCGACCGACGATGGAGAGGGGCAGGGGCGCTTTGCTAGTGTATAAGAATGCGCGGTCACCTGGCCCCCCGGCGGCGCGGCAAGCAGCTCGGCCGGCTGCTTGTAAGGCTTGTCCAGCCGCGCCACCGCGGCCGCAGCGGCCGGCTCCAGCCCGGCGCCCGGCCGCGGCGACGC